AATCAAAGTGATACTTGCTTCCAGGAATGAATTTGGAAGTATAGCTTCCCTTTCAATTTCATTGAAAAGTTTGAAGAGTAATGGCAGTAGTTCTTCTCTAAATGTCTTGTAAAATTCAGCAGTGAATCCATCAGGGCCTGGGCTTTTCTTTGTTGGTAAATTTTTAATTACATTTTCAATTTCACTGACTGTAATTGGGGTGTTTAAAATGTTTTTGTCTTCTTCATTCAACTATGGTAATTCGTAAGTATCTAAAAATCTGTCCATTTCTTCTGTGTTTTCCATTTTATTGGAGTACAGGTTCTCAAAGTAGGTATTCATGATCCTGTGGATTTCTTTTGGATCTGTTGTGACTTGGCCTTTTTCATTCCTGATTGCATGAATCTGAGCCTTTTCTTTCCTTTTTTTGATAGGATTAGCTAAGGGTTTGTCGATTTTATTTATTCTTTCAAAAACCAGCTCTTTGTTTCATTTATTTTTTGTATCATTTTCTTAGTTTCAATTGCATTGATTTCTGCTCGGATCTTTATAATTTCCTCTCTTGTTCGAGCTTTGGGTTTTTCTTACTCTTGTTTTTCTAGGAGTCTAAGTTTCATTAGGCTTTGTTTGATTTAAATTATTCTTTCTTGCTGTCTACTATTGGACTTTGCTCAGGCTCTACTCAGCCTTGGTTTGTGGAAATAGAGTGATAAATTGCTTCCTGGTCATTAGATTGGCCCTGTTATAATCTTTTCTATTCATCAATTGATCTTCTTGGGGATTTTTGTCTTTAAAGCTTCAGGTGTCCATCCTGGTGTTTGGATTTTCTGGTTAGGACCTGACATGCCTCACCAGTTTTGTCTGTATCAGTCTTTTATACCCACTGTATCTTAGCCACAATGCTCTTGGGTAGTTTGTGTCTCTGAAACATTGTACATTCTGGGTTATGACTGTTCTTTTTAGCTTCTGGAAGATGAGACATTCAAATATTAGCTGCTATTATTATTCATATTTTAATTTTGAATCTTGACAGTGAGACATCAGTCCCAAATTTTAGAATGAAAACCACGCCTTGCAGTTTATTCTCTGAAATAATGCCCTAGTGGATGAAAACAGGGGCAGTCCAAGTCTCTGTCACTGAATGACCTTTAGATACCAAGGCAAAATATTAATATTAAATATTTGCCTATTGTGAAAGAAAGAACAAGTCCATCAAAAGGGGTCTGCTCAACAGTAGAATCATAGGAAGGCCCAAGGATCATGCCTAGAAGGATCTATGCAGTTAGGTCTACCCAGGGAAGAGGTGGCTAAAGTCTAATGACTTCCAAAGAAGGAGGCGTCCCTCCACCAGAGTCTGCTGTTTTCATCCCTCTAACTGTTAATGGTAACTCCCTTTCCGTTTGGTGGGCAACTGTCTAATGATAATCTGGTTTCTCCTGTAGAGTATTTATAGGGAAACACTGTAGGACTTCTAGACAGTCACGATGCACACTGTAAATATACACGCACTCACTGTGAGCTCTGCTTGGCTAAGGGAGGAGAAAGTTCAACACTTGTGCAATTAGTTTTTTATTGTATTAGAGGTTTATGTGTTTGTTTTATCTATTAGATTGTGAGTCTCCTGAAGACAGGGACTGTGTCTTCACCTGTGTGGCTGAGGCTTCTCATGGTGCTGGGAAAGACAACACAGGTGTTATACTGAATAAGCACACTCAGTTGGCCAGGAAGTTGCTCTGTGGAGTGGAATAGGATAGAGGAGCTGGTAGGGCCCCCTGAGAAGCAGGTGTGGTGACCAGCCTGAGTGTGTGAGCTTCTGAGTGGATGACAGTAGGAAGTCCAGCCTCTGGATGGTGGGTGAGAAGGACAAGAGAAACAAGCATTCCTGAGTCTTCATGTTGGTTGGCTTTGAGGTTGTTCCTTGCTGACACAGTGAAGGCCTGGGTGATATGAGAAGTCATGTGTCACCTTCTGCACAGCCTGAGTGCTGTGCAGGCCTCCGCTTAGGATGTTGGTAAAGAGTTATTTTGGATTCTGTAAAGTAAAAACCCCAATAGGTAGAAAAGCCGTCATTGGGTCTGTGACATGGTAGAAGCAGTTGGTACTCACCCGGGCTGATGGGAGTCTGGGGGAGAGATTGGCCATGTGGTGAAGGGCATTCCTGCCTAATCTTGTCCTTCCAAAAAAAATCCCATATGGCGTAACCCCAAGAAGTATTCTTTGTCAAACATTCTGTAGATAGATGTTAGATAGATACAATTATAGATTCCATATATATAGATTACACACACAAAGGGACTGAGGAAGGAATTCCTTTCTCTTTCCATCCATCATCTATCCAACCATCCATCTTCTATCCTATCCTATCTGTCTATCTATCTATCCTTGTATCAATTACCTTGTGCTTAGGTGGTAAATAACTGAGATCTAGGGACCACAGGATTTATCTCCCTACAGGATGGAGCTAACTAGGAGTGCAACTACTACTCCCATATACTCATTGACTAGAATGTTATTTTGAAATTTAGGACTGTAAAGAGATTACCCGGGATCCGCAGAAGTTTGTTTCTTTGGATATGAAGCTTTTTGTGTACAATGTTTCGGCTGAGGATGGGGGGAAGTACACATGCACAGCCATACTGAAGCACCAGGGGCATCCAGGGATCCAGTACATGGTTTTAAATAGCATCGCTGTGAGCATCAGTAAGTATGTCGACACCTGTCACTGAGTCTTCCTGTCCCTTTAGGTGAGTGGGCTGGTTTCAGGCCTTGGGCAGAAATTATCTGGATCTTGATTTTCCCAAGAATTAGCAGAGTCTCAAACAAGTCACTGTTAGATCAGAGGGTAAGAAGAGGGAGGCAGGAGGGCACGAGCAGCTTAGTTTTCCTATTTAAGATAAAGAACACTCAGAACTCTTGGTTTGTTTGTGTTCATTAAGTGAGATCATGCATGTAGGGCTGCTGCTGGGCTCACGGTGTTCAGTATGTGGCAGATATTATTACCATGATCCTAGTGTCCCCAGCCTGCACTGTGATGGATTTCAATGGCCATCTTAGCACTGACCTTCCCTGGCTCTGGCTCTAAATGAGCCAGGGTGTCTAACATGTTTCTGGGAGACCCATTTCCCAAGAGGTGCTGGTCCCTAATTCAAGATGGCCAGTTCTCTTGAACACATGCTCTGCAGATTTCAAAGCCTAATCCTACTGGTAGAAGAAACTAAATTAGCTGGACCCCTTCATTCTATAGAGGCGGAGGAGGGAGAACTCATGGAAGATCACAGCACTTACTAGTGTGAACACAGCCTGTAGTGTGGCCTCCAAGCCCAGGCAGGCACTTTTCCTTCTAAACACCTGGGGCTAGGGACTTTTCTAGCTTTTTCTTACAGTTTTTGCTTGCTCTTCAGTAGAGTTGTTTCTGTACCTTTTCATCAGAGGGACAGAAGTATGTCTCTAATTCCAAGTACTGGATACCTGGCTAGTGCCTGGTGCTGTGACTCCCTTTGGTGCTGCTCACCTGGAGGGGCCCGGATAACCCTGGCCCTGAGTTCTCAATAATTCCCATTTCTTCCCACTCACAGGCCTTCCTCTCTCATCCTCTACATCACGGATGAAATTACTTAGGTGACTTCAGTATTTTGGGTGGCCTTCAGTTGTAACTTTCTTCCTGTAGCCAAGAACTACATTTCCTGTAGTCAAGACATTTCCTCTTGGTCACCTTTGAATTCTTGGCACTGGTGCCTGGCTACAGATCAGTTAATTACTGGTTTATTTTTATTGCCGCAATGCTGTAGTTGTACATGGGCAGCTGGGGAGGGGGGGTTGGGAAAGGTGGAATTTATAAGACGGAATGAAGAATGTGGGTCCAATAGTCCATATTTTATGCCTGTTCAATTAACATTTGTTAATGATCCATTGTCTGGCAAGCATTATTGTTGGGTCATGATAATTTAAAAAATTTAAAAAACACATTGGCTCCATCGATGCAGAAACTCCCAGCCTGCTAGGAGTGAACCTAGAAGTATAAATGGATTACTTTAGCCTCATATGCTAGGATCAGGAGGACCAGAAAAGAGCCATGGGGTGGCAAGTAAGTGATGTGAAAGGCTTCCAGGAAGACTCAGGATCTCATCTGGGTTTGGGAGGGTGCATAGGTTTGATGGCCATGAGAAAAAACAAAAAACAAAAAGCAAAACGAACAAAAAAACAGAGAAGGGGTCTCTGGGCAGAGAGAGCAGTGTGAGGCAAAGTGTGGATGTGTCCAGCATCACGACTCATGTTGGATGTGTCACAGATCTCACTAGAGCACGACGATTGTGAAATGAGGAAAGCGAGGGAGTAGAGTTGAACAGGGACAAGTTCAGGGGGCTCCAGACACGTAGGCTTCACCATGTGGCCCCGAAAGGTCCAGGATGCCAGTGAGGGCAGATTTACGTGACTGCACCTGTGATGGCGGACACTGGCCTTGAGATGGTTGGAAGCAAGAGAGACTGAAGGGTCTCCGGACATTGGAGGCCACACAGAGGCTGCTGTGATACACGGGAGAGTCTGGGGGTCTGCACTCAGAGGGGGACAGGGGAGGTTTCTTGTGCACTTCATCCCTGAGTGCTGGTAAGCCAGGTCCTGTACTAGGCACAGACAGGACATGATGATAAGGAAACATCCATGACCACTGCCGTGATGAAGCTCGGGGTCCGAGAGGGCAGTGAGGCAGAGCTAGTGAGATGTGTTGATGCTGGTATGACGAGCTAGTGTAATGAGGGAAAGGAAAGCAGGAGATCGAATAGACAACAGAATGACTTCTGTTTTCTATGTGTGATCTACTTGGCCCATTGACTAGCTGGTGATAATTTTTGTTTGGGAGTGTTGTGTTTGAGTAGTTTGTAGTGTGTCCAAGTGTTATGGCCATTACAAAGGCCATGATATTTTTGCATTTTTCCTAGCCTCCCTCATAATTTTTCCACATCTCACCCCAAATGTATGAGGAATGTGGGACTGAGCAGGTGATTGCCAAATTTTGGTGGCTAAATAGAGAAGAAAAGGAGGGAACAGGCTAAAGCAGGGATCCAAGGAGTCAAAACTATGATGGCATTGTAAAGTGGAGGTGTTGGCATGAAGAAGCTGGAGAATACAGAAGAGGAAGTGATGGAACAACATGAAAATTCAGGTTGGAAGAGGGAACTCAACATAACAGTAAGTTCAGGGCGTTGTTTCTTTCCACCTAGGACATCTTCTGTGTTTATATTTTTAAGTACTGAAATTTTATCATAACATCCTTTTGGTTTACATTTAAACCACATATGCAGTAGCTGAACTGAACTTTCTTGCTAGCTCAGTTTCTAGTTTCCTATTTTTTTCCCCTCAGCAATTCACTCATTTCCTGTTGAAAGAAGATGCATTTATGAAGTGATGTTTTGTCACATCACGGATTTTCTTTCCTTAATCAATGTTTATTAGAAGTGTAATGCTTCACAGTATCATGTTAATGTATTTGGGAATATAATTTGGAAAGCATTTGGGAATTCTAATGTAATTTCCTGTGGGTGTGATTTCTTAGCAGACGGAGGTAGACCTGGAGGAAGAATTCCTAAGATTATTTATCCTCAGAATAATTCCATTGAAGTGCGACTTGGTGAGTAAAATTGGCAGATTCATTGACATCACTGAAGGCAAAGCTTATTATAGCCGCATATTCTAGTGAGCATTTTGAATTTCAAAGGTGAAGGCGAATCTCATTCAGACCTAGTTTCCAGCTTTGGATATACCTGAGTTCATCAAGAAAGCTGAAGCCTAGGGAAGCCAGGATGTTGGGATTCTAGCTGTGAATAATGTGGACCTAGGTGATTACTATAAATGTGTTTATGCACAGGGAATAAAAACATAAAACTAATTCCTGAAAAAGATGGCATAAGATAAAACTACTGGTAAATAATTTTGGCCAGGAATTCTGGATTATATTGTCTCCTACTGGAAAGAATATTAAAGGAGTAGGAGAAATGATCATGTTATATTCCTTCATTTATAGGAAAGGACCAAAAAATTTTGCCCCAGTTTGTGATCTAAGTAGAGAAAAAGAGGATCAAACCATTTTTTAAAACTTAAAGGAAGTCACTAGTAGAATAAAACGTTAAGTACCTTCTAAAAAACAGTCTCCATTCAAAATAGCTACTCAGATCGAATCAAATATTAAAATACAATTAGGATTTTATAAATCTAGTTACAAACTCTTTTCTCAAAAGCACATATGTAAAGACTCATGGTCTAAGGGACTAAAGAAACTCTGTAAGTGAGTTATCATTTGCAAAAATTAACCCAAAAAATCAGGTTGGGTGATTTCAGGCTGATAATATTATTTAAGGCTGAAAAAAAAAGTAAATGATTAATTGGATCACTTTATACTAATGGAAATGACAGTGCTTCCCCAAATACAAATATTTATGTATTGGATATCAGTTCATCAAAATATGTAAAACTTAAGAGTCTCATTTGAAATATCAGAGTTCTGCAATAAGAAGACAGAGTTGGTTTAGTTGTACTGGGAGAGTTTAATATGCTATGGTATAGATGGATTGAATAAGTAAATAAGGTTATAAAATATTTGATTAATATAGTAAGAATAATGTGTTTAATAAATGACTAATAAACAGCTATGAAAATTGCAGAACCAAAAGAGGAAGTGGTAAACACCACATGGTACAACCAACCACAATGTATTAAGTCTAGAAATTTAGAACTCAAATCAAAACAATGAAAAAAAAAACTAATTTAGTATGTGAGGTGCTGGGTTCATTAGTTTGCTTCATTTAGTTATAATCATAATGTAAACTTACATCAAAATATCATATTATAACTCATAAATATGTGGTTACTGTCAATTAAAAATTTAAAAAATTAAACAACCACTAAATTGTCTTCTAATCATTTGCTTTCCTTGGTTAAAAATAAAACTGAAGCCCTAGTAGACACTATTTAGAAGTAATGACAGTGACAATACTTCAAGTCCAACTTCATGGCATGAGACCAATGCTACACTCCAAATAAATTTTTAACTTTAAATATTACTGCAAGTAAGTTTATAAATGATTAAAGTGCATGAAAAGCCATTTAACTTTCTAAGAAAAGAATAACTAAACAACAAAATTAAAAGTAGAAAATAATGAACTAAAAAAAAAGTAGAATGCTGAGTCTTATAGTTGGTTTAGGGGTCGAATGGTTGAGGAATGGGGCTTGGGAGAAATAGAAAAGATTGTAGCAAATGTAATCTCATGAAGGCAGAGGAACGCAAATATAAGACTTAGAGATGTAAAATTTAGGGCCCAGGGATTTAGCTCAGTGGCACGGTGCCTGCTTTGCAAGCACAAGGTCCTGAGTTTGATAGCTGGTACAAAAAAAAAAAAAAAAAAGTGTAAACTTATAAAACAACAAATGTTAGGGAGATAAAAATCTGTTTAACGAGGTACATACCACTCACCATGTTGATGCTTTTATAGAATTCACAAGCGCTCAGAAAGACAAGGTTTGCCTGTTACAGCTCTCAATTGACCCCCACTCTCTGACTCCTGTCTTTAAAAATTAATCCAATGTATTTAGACAATTAAAAACTAGGCCTTTTTTCTTCAGACTGAGGATTGAACCCAAGGCTTTCCACACTGAGGTATATCCTCAGCTGCTTTTATTATTTACTTTGAGACAGGGTCTTGCTAAATAGCAGGGACTTGATCTTATCCTTCCGCCTCAGTCTCCCAAAGTCCTGGGATTACAGGCATGTGCTGCCATGCTGGGCTAAGAAAGTAGCAGTCTTTAAGGAGGAAGATAAACATATATTTTTAAATGATCTATTTCAACATTTAAAAAAAAAGTATCTAAAATTTGGAATTACTAGTAGTTGTTCAGTAGTACTTATTCTAATATAAAATAAACTTTCAAAGTCAATATTATTGTTATATACCTAAATAACAGGATATTAAGTTGATATGGGCAAGCTTTCTAGGCCTTATTAAGTATCTTACTAGGCTGTGTGAAGCCTGTTTTTACTTGGGATGCAGTTACCTAGGCAATTACCTGTCAGTGGACACCTGCCTTTAATGGGGACTGCAACCATGTCACTTCCAAAGAACAAATGTCCCTTTCCAGATGCACAGGAAGTGTCAGAGAAATAAGCATCAGAGGGTTAAAAAAACCCCGCATATTGACATATTTATTTCAATTGTAAGTGCTAAATTGAAATAGAATTTTTTTCTAGATAACATTTTAATTCAACCATATAGTAATAAAAGTATTAAGCACCAGAACATTATAGTTTCTAAACATAAAACCAGACATTTAACAATCAAGCAATTAAACACAGGGGAAGAAATCACAAATGAAAACATCAAAAAATTAGACTAGCCTTTAAAAAGGCAAACACCTGAATATATATAAAATACTAGAGTTAAAATGTAAAGGGCAAACTAGGGGAAAATATTTGTAGTAGAGAGGACAGAACATGGGTGAGATTACTTACATATGACAAAAAAATCAACAAATGGAGAAAATGCCAATCTAAATGGGGCAAATAATTCACACAAGAAGAAAACCAACAAAATATGAAGAAATTCATCTGCAATAAAAAAAGCATACATTTGTCTGTGGAACTGATAAGGCTTAAACATATATTATCATACTAGCCAAGGTACTGACGCATTGCTGGCCATGAATGAGCAATCCTTTACATGGTGCGTGCTTCCAATTGTCCCGGGTTTCCCAGCTCACCCAGCAGGAAACCCAAGACCTCCCCTGCCAACCATGGCCCAGGGTCTGATGCTTTCCTTGTGTCCAGTGGCTCTCTGTCCTCTTTTTTTCTTTTTTTGGTACTGGGGACCGAACTTAGGACCTTGCTCTTGCCAGGCAGGCGGCTGAACCACTGAGGTAAATCCCTGGCCCTCTGTCCTCTTTTTGACCCCTCTCTGGTTTGTATTCCGAAACTTGAAAACTTGTATCCTTTTCAGCTCAGTAAATTCTAGGCGGCAAAATGTATGCAACAAAACAAATCCACTGGGCTGCAGAAGGAAATATTAAACACACATTTTTAAAACAAATTGTTCTTAGCGTGTTTAAGGAAAGACAGGATTGAAACGTTCAAAAGAGAGCTGGAAATTAGAAATAACAGCATACCAGATTTGGAAAAGGAACAAATCAAATGTCCAGCACTGATCAATACAGTACCTAAACAGAAAGGTAAATGGAGGTTTAAGAGAATATAAAATATATTTGAAAAGAGGATTAATGAGCTAAAATATAGGTCAGGAGACAATACCTAGGACTAAGCACCCAGAGACAAAAGAACAGGAAGTTTGGATGTGAGAGTATGTACAGAAAGAGAATGCACAGATCTAACACACATGCGCACACATACACTCACACACCACATACACATGCAGAGCGTTGGTGTCTCTGATGGAAGAGGAGAGAGAAGGCAGAGGCAGAAGCAATGCTATTTATTCTCAGGCAACACTGAGAATGTCCCAAACTGGTAGGAGACCCCAATCCAAAGATCCCAGAAGCAAAGAATCCCAAGCAAGATGAAGGAAAGTAAAATGACACCTACACAGTCTATTGTGAAACTGCACAATATGGAAACCAAGAGAAAAAGTATTAACAGTAAGAAAAAAGGAAGAGCCGGGTGTGGTGGTTCATCCCTGTAATCTCTGCACTCTGGAGACTGAGGCAGGGGGATCACCATGAGTTCAAGGCCAGCCTGAACTGTATAGTGAGACCCTGTCTCAAAGGAAAGGAAGAAAAGTGCTTTCTGTGCGCAATAATAAGATTACTGGTTGACACTGTAACAGAAACAATGTGCTTAAAGAACCCCAAACCTGCTAATTTTTTAACCAGTGAAAATATGACAGACTAACAATAGCATATGTTGTCAATTATAGTCCTACAATGAAGGAAATACTGCAGTGTTCTGCAGGTAGCAGGAAAATGCCCCCACATAATAAATCTAAATTCATAAAGCTCAACATTTAAAATACCTATGAGATGAAAATACACAACAGCATTTGCTATCTGCCGAGAGTGAGGTAAATGAAATTGAGCCCTGAGAACTATACAGTGTCAGAGGTGACGGAAAAGTATCAGTTATATCAGACTTTGATAAATTTGATGTGTTTTATTGTCTAGAACTACAATAAAATAATACTTTTAAAAATACATAGTTGGGGACAGGGATTTGGCTCAGTGGTTCTGCCGCCTTCCTTGCAAGCACAAGGACCCAAGTTTGGTCCCTGGAACCAAACCAAACCAAGCCAAACAAAACACATAGTCAAATGTAATACTAAAAAGTAATAAGAAATACAGGCAGAAGGAAAGCAGGCAAGGAATCCAAAAAAGGCAAGAAAGAAAAGCCAACTATAGAGTAAATGCACCACATAGAACATACCTAAAATAGCTGATTTAATATAACATTTGTCATTAGTTAATAAATGGGTGAATGCTCCAAATAAAATTAGTCATCCTGGATTAAAAAATAAAAATACCATATGATGTTTACAAGAAGTTTGAAGATGAAAGGATAGAAAATGATATACAATATAAATACTAACTAAAATATTGTTGGTATAATTATATTAATTATATTAACTGAGATCTTAAGGCAAAATGCATTGTTTGCGGGAAATATTTCATACTGCTGAAAATCCAGTTCTGAACCTGTAAATATATAATGTGCCCTTAAAACACACATGTGCAATGTACACATATGCACACACACAGGAAAAGTGTTCAACAGTTCAGTGTGACATTTCTATAAGTTTTTAAAAATAGATTTTAAAAAAATCATATTAAGGAAGTTTCATTTCATAGTTTTCTAATAGCTTCTGGCTGTATGAGTCTTATAATAGTCAAGACACTTTTAATGCATAAGAACCAGCTAGTGAGATGTGTGATGTCTCATTTTAGGCAGGATAAGAAAGCTAAAATAATTTAAAATAGGTCTGGGAATTTAGCTCAGTGGTTTCACCACCTGCCTTGTAAGTACAAGGACCCGAGTTTGATCCCCAGTACCAGAAAAAAAAACTAAGTTAAAATCATTTAAAATATAAAGTAGAGAAAGGAAAATGGAAATCTTCTGGAGTACACTACTGGGATGCACTATTTTCTTGATGGATGAAGAGGTAGGACTGATTTATCATAATTCATTAACTTTACACTTATTCTATATTTTTCAATATATACGTTATATTCATAATACAGTAGATATTCAAAGAACACTCCTTGGAATTTGAAGTAGGATTTATTGGGCTCATAGGGAAAAATAATGCAAAATCACAAGCTTGTTAAATATGATTTATGAATATATGTGGAGACCGAATAAGGAGAAAAGGAGAAAGGGTGATGAGTTCACATTTCAAAAGTAGGAATATTTCTGGATTTGGAACTAGAAACCCGGAGCTTGTGTCTCATTTCTTACTCCAATTCAGGTGTGACCTTGGTAAGCCACCCAATGGGCCTGAAGTTCAATTTTCCCACCTGTAACATGGGGATAGATAATAACATTGCCTCTTTTTCTGCCTTGTTGGATTACTTCAAAGGTATATAGATGGAGGGAGAAAGTACACATGCAGTACTTTGTAAACTGTGAAGTTCTTTGCTAATATCACTAGGAATAGAAGTAGTTGTGTCCCTATGATTGTAGAAAACCTTCATCAGAAGCTGTAGGACTGTCAGCCTATGCCAATTTCCACATTGGAAGATCTTTCCTCCCTCCCGGCATCTGTGCAGAGAGAGGATGAAGCAGATTAACACTGGCCCTGGAGCATTTCTCCTAATAAAAAGATATTCAAGGCTCAAAAGTAAGATGCATTTGTGCCTGAGGAGCTGAACAATTTAAATAGCTGAAACTTGCACAACTGCAACGTAACACTTATGAATGTGGTCACCACAGGCTCCATGCTCATTGTGAACTGCAACATAACAGACACCAAGGAGAACACGAACCTCCGATGCTGGAAAGTCAACGACACCGTGGTGGACAGTTACTACAACGACTCCAAACGCATCCAGGAGGGAATCGAGTAGGTGCTCCTCCTGGCTTCTCTAAAACTAACACGTGCTTCTCCATCTTCATGAATGTATAGATAGTGGACATTTTAATGGTTCCCGCCTCCTCCTACTCAGTGTTGGCTTTGTTGTTCTAAGATCTTGGCGGGCCAAGCGTGGCCCAGCGTTGGGTTCAGAGAACTCTGGGATGCTAATGTTATCAGTAGCCCCAGCCTAACGGGGACGTGTGGCAAACCAGAAGTGAGCCATAGAGTGACAGCATTCTTCCTGCTGCATTCAGGCATTTCCTGAGTGTGGCAGTCAAGCCTAAGCACTGAAACCAGCACCAACATAGGCACACTTGCGCAGCATGTGCTATAAACTCACTTGTTGAGGTGTAACTCCGGTGGTGTAAAAGAGGAAGGACAGAGAGCAGAGGGCCTTCTGTGGGCCGTGGGGTATGGCAAGGTAGGAGGCCTATGGAGGACTAGGAGGCTGGTCCCAGGCTCTCTCATCAACAGGGTCACATTTCCCCATCACTGACCAGGAGGAAAGACAGGTTTGTCACTCCACCGTCCACACCTCATACTGGGCCACTCAGTGACATTATTTTCAGGGTCCAATCACCATCCAAGGTATTCTTCAGAAAAACAAGAAGCACTTTATGTTCAGAATAAAGGTTATAAATGATGCTGGGTAAATATCACTCATGTTAAAAGATCGACTTCTTTTTTTTTCTTTTAATAGAACCAATGTCTCTTTTCCGGAACACATTTTTTACACGGTCAACATCACCTTCTTAGAAGTGAAGATGGAGGACTATGGCCTTCCTTTCACATGCCATGCCGGGGTATCTGCTGCCTACATCATGCTAAGGCTCCCAGGTAATGTCCCATAGGCTCATAGTGACCAGAGCATTCGGTGATAGCCAGGAACCGGATGTGAAAGACAAATGCCATCAGATGCTTGGAGTGAGGTGATGCCCCGGGTGGCAAAGGACAGAACCAAGGTGTTCTGGCCAGGGAGAAGCTGGTCTTTTCTTTGGAGTGAGGCTGTGACTCTGTGGGAGTAGCTTTGAAAGCACAGTACTCGTATACATTAAGATCTCTGGGCATCGACATTCTAGAAAACCAAATTTTTCTTTGCTAAACTGGATTGCTCAACTTTTCTAGTCAATTCCTTGTGAGTTTTAGCTTTATACATTATTATGATTAATTTGATGCACAGTAAAAATGCTTATGCATATTTTTACTATGTACCTTTGAAAAGTTATCCAGAACTGGAATATGGGAGTAGGAGGGCTACTCTCCTAGTGAGCACACAGACTGTATTCAGCAGTATGCGGGGAACCTTTTGATTACGGACTGGGGCTCACTGAGCCAGCCAGTGAAGAGTGGAGGGGGAAAGTACAACCCTGTGGATACCTTTGGACTCCTACTGGGGTAGGGTGTGAAATGCTTGTGAGATGCTGTGTGGCTTACCAAGGCAATTTACTTCTTGACTGTTAACATCCTGTGAATATAGTGGGGTAACTTCTATGTACAAGAGAGTGCTCGGGTCTCCAGTACCCCTTTGGGGTCAGTTACCCATTGTTTGGATACTTCTAGCTCAAGCCCTGTGAAGAACCTTTTTCTAGACCACCACATAGAATAGCAGTTGCCGAACAGAGCCGGCAGCAGCACCTGTGCGCCTGCTGTGCCCTCAGGCGTCCACTGCCCCCTTAGTGTAGTGAGCCGCAGGACCTGTTCACTGCAGCTTGCATTTCTGGCTGTGCCTGCTCTCTGCCTCTATCTGGTGACCCAGATGACAGGGTCACTGCCCCGGCTGTCAGTGAGCCCACAACAGTGGCTCACTAGGGCCTTGGGAAGCCGTTGGGTTTCACTAGGGTGGGTGGTGGGGGCTGAGTTCACCCTGCTCCAGTGGGTCCTCCAGGGGCTCCTGAGGTTGCATCCTTTCCCTGATGGCCTCCTTTCTCCTGCGACTTCTGTTGTCCTCTGTGCAGTACAAACAGATTCCAAATCTGCCTGTGTCCTGCTTGTCCACACGGAAGCCCATTCAGTGACCACAGAGCCATGCCTGAAGTTGGGCAGTGTGTTTATCCTCTCGAACCTCTTGGTTCTCTTGCTTTTGGTCTTAGCTTTGCTAATGGTGCCTGAGCTCCTGTCTTCCAGGTTATTCTGGCCCCAAGTCTGGGGTCACCGTGATTCCTTCCTCTTCTCCCCTCACTCCAATGCCTGCTAGTTCTCACTCATTCTAGACAGGTCTTCCTCTGTGGTGCTTGCCAGCTGCGTCTCTTCCCGCCTGCCCAGTGCCATTCGCAAGACAGTGAGGTAGTCTCAACCCAAGGCTTTGAGGTCTGGCTTCCGGCCTTGGATCCTGGCTTTGCTGTGTGAGCTGTGTGACACAGTACTGTCACTCACCTTTTCTGTGTTTCAGTTTCTTTACCTCTGTAATGAGGAACATAGTACCTTCCATGGAGGGTTGTTGAGAATGAATTGGAATTTTAAAACTTTTTAAAATTGTGAAATAAAACATGCATAAAGGAAAGAATACATGGATCACCCATATAACATATCAAATAATTATGCAACAAATGCATATAAAGCCACCACTTGGATTAAGAAAAACATAGAAACAAACCAAGAACAAACAAGTGAGCATTGGCAGAGCTGAAGAGTCTCTCGATTCCCAAATTTAACTCTTTGCATGATTCTGATCATGAACTGAATTGGTCATGAGCCAAATCAAATTCATCGATTAGTTCAATGTGGACCTTATGGGGAAGTCCATTTCAATTTTTCCACCAGAATTGTGGACAGAATTACGTTCATGAAGTCAGGTACCGCTGTAATCACTCCTCCAAAGTGTAGGAAAGTTATTTTTTCGCCTTTTCATCCTGGTTGATATTCCTGAAAGTCTGGCTTGGCTTTGCCAGTATTTCAGCTTTGCACTGAGAGAATTAGATAGCACAGTTACTCATGGGACTTGATAATTTGTTGAGGTGTCCAGTTGACTGATACACGGCTGATGGCACCAGCAGCCCAGCCCATTCCTTTTTCTTACTTCGCGGCTAGGTCACTGTTGGTCCCCTCTGCTGGAAATGCATGGTCATTTGCATTGTTTCCCGTTTAACGCTGCCAACAAGCAAGCCCACCCTGCAGCTCTCTGTGTGTGCCCGGTACCCTGTAGCAGCCTTCCTTTCTGTATTAGGAGTCAAGTTGCCAGGTGATGTTCTTTAGCGTTTCTATTTAATGTGATGCTATGCTCAGGGGTGGCTGTACCTGCTGTCACTATACCTGTGCAGTGTCTGGGAGAATGAGGTGAGATGATTTGGCAGAGCAAGCACAGAGACTGACATTTGGTGAGTTCTAAAAAATTACCTGCTCTGATTCCAGCCACAAATTGGATAGTTGTATTAGTTTTCTGATTGGTTTCGTTGCTTTGGGAATGTTGTGTGGTCCAGTACCTTCCAGTGGTGTTGTAGTCTCTTCTCCAAGATGCTGTGGTTTTGCTGGTCCCCTGCCCCTCTTTTCCCCAGGACACCGGCACTCCTGGTTGACATTCAGGGACACCCCATGTACCTTATCCCAGGCGCCTCTTGGTCACCTCCCTTTGCTGAGAACAGAGTTAGGTGACTGGCAGTGGTGGCTCTTCTGTGGGCCCCATATTTTGATGGAGGAGGTGCCTTTGCAGTGAGGGAGGGGAGAATTGTTTTTCAATCAGGGAGCAGTGCAGACCTCGGAGACCCCTTCACCTCTGTGCTCCCCTGTAGCCTCCAGCAGAAACACAGCTTAAGTCAGGTCAGAGAGGAGAGGGACTCCGGGTCCACCTTGGAAAAAGGGGATGCCAGCTGTGATGCCTTCGACATTCCATGAAACTGAGGGCTCACAGATTAAATCCATCTCACCCTGGAAGTGTGCATGCTTTATTAACTGACCTAGCCTGACACTGCTTGATAGTTTCCAGGCCAACCTGTACTGTGAAGGGTTCTGAGTTCAGCCCAGGCTTAGAGGGGAAGACACTGCCCCCTCCTCCTCACCTGTCAATCATGGGATGGGAGGAGCCATGCCTTGTCCCCTTTATTTTCAGCTCATCAGGAAGCTCTTGCTCCTTGAGTCCATTCATTCCTGCCAACCTCACTTCTCAGTCATAGGAAATGTGTCTTCGGGTAGCTACACTCTGTTTTGTTTACCCTGAGTTCTTAGGAACCTCACTCTCTTCAATCCAGGCTTCCTGTGGGTTTGCTTGGGGTGAACTGAAGGTGATAGCTGCCCCATTTGACTTCCTTAATTTGGGTAGGGACACCTCCAGCTTTGAATGAATCTTACTTGGTCTCTTTGAGGCAGGCTCGCTGGGCTCTTGCTTAGATCAGCTGTCCCCTTCTGTCCTCTGTCTCCTCCTGTCTGTTCTCATCCAGCATCTCCATGCTGATGGCCACATGGGCTCCAGTAGCTGCTACCTCAGCACTGAGTTTTCCATTTATTTCTGTCTCAATGTCCCTGTTGCCTTTGAACTTGTGCGTGAATCTCCTGCCCCTGTGTCATCATCTCTGAGTTCACTGAAAAGCTCAGCTGAGTATCAGCACTCCTGATTGCAGTGGATGATGTATTTAAGGCTTGCTTTCCTGGCTAGGGGCTCTGTGTGTGGACATAAATCTGCAGGCTCAGGTTTCCTTTCAAGACCATTTGCGGTACCAAGAAGTGCACTTTCTGCCTCCTCAGGCCTGGACCCTCCTGGAGGGAGTGCTGGTGCTGTTGCTCCAGAAGGAATGAAAAGTGCTGGCAAAGTGGAGGACAGGGGAGTGGGGAGGAGCCAGGGGGACCCCAAGGGCTGACTGGCCCTCAGAGTGAGGAGCAGTTCCACCTGGCTGCCCAGGGACTGAATCAGTGGGTCAGTTCGGGGTGAGGGGCACCTGTGTGTTTTGCTCAGTGCTCTTTATCTTGATTTAAAGGTGCTCAGTAATAAACAGGAGGTCCAGGACCTCAAGGTATTGGCACCACAATGTGGCTGGCATAGGGTGGAGCATGATGAGCACTTTAGATGAAGGAAAGAGCAATGTGATGTGTTTACAAATGAGCCCTGTCCAGCCATAAGGAAGAACAGAGTCTCATCATCTGCAGAAATGGTTGGATCTAGAGACCATTCTTTTGAGTGGAACAAGACAGACTCTGAAAGACAAATATTGCAGTTTCCTTAGTATCTGGAATCTAAAAAAGATGACAAGAAAGTAGAAAGGGGAGACTCCTGTATTATTACATAAGAGGAAGGGAAGAAGGGTGTGGTATGAGGCCTGGCAATAAGGGGCATGAATTGATAAAAATATATTGCATCCATTGAACCCCTACCCCCCAAAAGTGAAGCTAGGGTGGTGGGTGGAGCATGAGAGTGATGGAAATAAATGATTAAAATATATTATGTGCAAATCTATCACAATAAAACGCATTATTCTGTACAACAATGTGCACTAATAAAATGGTAAAAAAAAGTGCTCTCTGGGGGTTCAGAGAAAGACTCCACTCTTCTCTTTCCCATTCCCCACACAACCTGGAGTGAGGGGAGGATCAGGAAGGTCCATGAAGCAAGTGGGTTATGAGGTAGATTCTAGGACGATTCCTCTTCCTCCCTCCTGGTTCCCCTTTTCTGATTTCCTGATTCCCTCCTTCCTGGAGACTCTTCAGGTGCATTTCTTGTCCTCTCTCCAGATTCCTTTTTTTCCACCTCTTGGTGCCCACTCATGGGCTGTAGGAGCTTGTGCTTCAGGGACGCAGTGGGACTCCCTTTCAGAGTCTGTGTAACTGATACCCCAGGAGGATGGGGACCACTGGGTGGCACCTGCAGAGAGGCTTCCAGGGAGGAGATGCAAGGGGCTCTTTCTTTAGGACAGGGGCTCTGCTGCTGTGTACAGAGTGCCTGGCGAAGCAGGGTGGCAGGATCGTCATCACTAACATGCTGCAAGACCACCAGAGACATTCCCAGCAGATGTGCTGAGGCTCGGCCTGTGGGGCCGTCACATGGGGCGATGTCAGAGTGGATGTCACAAACTCTGAGTCACCCTGTGTCTGCCACCTGTAAGCAGGGCTTCAAGGATCTCGTCTGCCAGGCTCCCTGGGACTCTTTGTTCCCTAAAATCCATGGTCCAGCTTAGGTCAGATGCTCCCATTCCATACTTGTTATTTAACATCAAAGAAGCATTTCAGCTGTGCCCTCGGTGATACAGGATGCCTTTCTACCTGACATGTGTGAGTGATCCACAGGCATGGAGAGTGTGATTGTATTGTTCTTCTATTTTGCTGTCACCTGTAGCTCCAGACTTTCAGGAGTACTTGATAGGAGGATTTGTTGCTTTGGCGGTCGTGGTTATCTCGGTGTTGGGTGTCTACAGATTCTTCAAGGTGGACATCGTGCTTTGGTATCGAAGTGCCTTCCATTCTGCTGAGACCAGAGAAGGTGAGTATGTGTCTTCCTTACAAAATATGTCCAAATCAATCCCCACCATCTGGATAACCATTCTAAGTTTTCCTTTATCATATTTACAAATGTGAACTTCATGGTGTTGGCAAAGTTAGAGGACAGAACCTCCTGGGACCCTCCTGTGTCTCAGAGAAATGCTAGTCCACAGTCACCAGCTTCACTGCCACATGAGTCTTGTAAGCTTCTAGTGCCCAGGAAGGACTCGCGAAGTAGGAGGAGCAGCTCATCTCCAGGGTCTCACTGTGAGTGGCCGAGGTGGGGGGGTCTTGCCTCCATTGGTGTTAGAGAGGGGAGTTTCTCCAGAGCAAAGAGCCACAGCCTGGAGAGAGTCACGTCTCTACCTCTCAAGACTGGACAGGGGTGGACCCGAGTTTGAACTTGAATTTTCTACTTACTCTGTGTGAAATTAGAAAGATAGTTTAAATTTCTTTTCTTTCTCAGTTAAAGGAAGGAAAGACGCAAGGAAGGAAGGAAGACAAAGAAAAGAGGAAGGAAAGAAGGAAGAAAAGAAAGGGTGGGGAGGAAGAGAGGAAGGAAAATGTCATCTTTCTTCCTGCTGGGATGCACATTCAACATGCACAAGTTAAAGGAGGAGAGGTTTATTTTGGCTCGTAGTTCGTAGAGGTTTCTGTCCATAGTCGGCTAGCTCGATGGCAGGGCAGCACAGCAGAGGGGCATTACACGGGGGAAGCAGTCCACGGCCAGGCGGACAGGAAGCAGAGAAGACTCAAGGAAGGAGAAGGGAGATGGACTCTTCTAGTCCAAGCCCCAGTGACTGACTGCCTCCTCCAATCTGGCTTCATCTCCCAACATCACATTAAGCTGTAAACTCATCTTTGGACCAATTCAGCCACGACTCTCACACCGCTAGGATCCAATTGTTTCTCAAAGCTCCACCCAGGAGCTCATGAGGCTTTAGGGGATATCCAGATAGAAACTAATAGAAGAGAGGAAGGAAAGAAAGAAGGAAAGACAAGGGAAGGAGGAAATAAGAAAGGAAAGAAGGGAGGAAAGGGGTGGAGGGAAGTAGAAAGGAAAGAAATAAAAGAAAAGGAAAAAAGGGAGGAAAGAAAGGAAGGGAAGGAAGGAGAGGAGAGGAGGTCACATCCTGTCTGGAACGATGCTGAGGGCCCAGGGAAGCACCCAGCAGAGCTGTGGGCACAGACAGCTCCTTGCTCACCTGCAGTCCAGCAAGCTGCCCCACCATGCTGCGTCTGTGGCACCTGTGTCCTGTCAGCACTCTGACACACAGATGCCTCCAAGTGGCCTGAACCTAAGAGGGACAGGCATTTCTCACCTTCGTGCCTGTGGCTCTCTATACATTAGGCCTCAGAATGGATGTGATCTAGTAAGGTCTGTAAAGAAAGCAGAAATAGGCCGGGCATGGTGGTGCACGCTTGTAATCCCAGCACTCAGGAGGCTGAGGCAGGAGGATCGCTGTGAGTTCAAGACCAACCTGGGCTACATAGTGAGTTCCAGGTCAGTCTCAACTATACAGTGAGACTCTGTCTCAAAAAACGCCCCCCCCCAAAAAAAAGCACTAATATGCTTGAATGTCCCCTAATTTCATGGAAAAATTCCTATAAGGCAGAAAGAAGTGTACGTGGAAGTGGGCTTATCGGTGCCTCCCCACTGCAGAGATGTGCAGGGCTGGCATGAGCAGGGTCTGCGGTGCCCAAGTGTGGTCTACAGTAGCCAACACAGGGAGGGCATAGAAATGCATGCTTGGCATAGAAAGTCACAGCCCAAGTGCCTGTCTGTGTTTGATAAGTACAGGTGTGCTACCTTGGATTCTATTCTAAGTTAGATCTCCCGATGCAAAATAGGCAGCCCAGAGGCGGGGCTGGAGCTCAGTGGTCAAGTTTGTGTGTGGCATGTGTGAGACCCTGGGCTCCTTTCCCAGCAATGAAAAACAAAACAATGATAATCACAGATACTGGGGACTTCTGAACTGTGTAGAAAGTGACAAACACCTCTTGATGGCAAAAGCATCCCATGACCTTGCATGTCTGGCCCTGCACAGAGTGGTTAGATTGGGGGCTGGGTCTGCTCTCTGCTGTGGTCCCCACAGAGGCTGCCCTATATCACCCTCCAGACCGTCCTCTGGTCCTGGCTGTGTCTGTTGAGAAGGGGATCCCAAACACCATTTACTTTCTTTGACATGGGTCTGAGTGGTTTGGCTGCTTTCTGTTTTGTTGCCTACCAGGGAACTGTGCCTCTTGACGTGGTCTCCTCCGGTCCCTCTGTGTGTATCCCCCATGACTCACTGTGACTCCTAGGAGTGTGACTCCAGCCACAAGTGATGACGCTGTGCCGAGCGCGCAGTGAGGCTGAGTTCAGCAGGCAGACAAGGGAGGAATCATGACTCATCTGAGAGAGAAGGAACCCCACCCTCTGCTGGAACCTGTCTGCAGCCCTGTCAGCTGGAAGGAGTTTTGCTGGGTGTTCTGGGAAATCTTTCACACACAGTAATCAAATGAACTGTTGTATGTTTGGTCAGCAGCCATTTAGGGCACACACAGATGCTTTGCCATCCAGGGTAGACTGGAATCTTCTCAGAAAATGAAAGGACCTGGCCAGGACGTGGAGAAATGGTCAGCTCCTGTAACAGAGAGGTGGAGTGTGTGGCTCACGTGGCCCTACCTCCTCAGAACACTCACCAGTAGATCTACATCTCTGGAATTTTCTTGATGAACTCAGCCGTTAGGAGGCATCCAGCGTTTACTGTTTGTGTGGTTATCTCCTCAGTTGCTGTACCAGTAACTATGACTGGGAAGCAGATTACCTTAGAGCTAATGGCGTGAGATGATCATCTGTCTGGCTTGTGGGTTCTGTAGTCCAGGAATGAAAGCAGGCACAGTGGGTTCATTTCAGGTCTGGGTGTCTGGGGCCTCAGCTGATGACCGGAAGTTGACCTTGGCAGTTGGCTGGTGGCCTCAGCCCCTCTCCACAAAATCTCTCCCAGCAGCCTCCTTCTCCCAGCATGGCGGCCACTCCCTGAGTCAGGTGTGGCAGGAGCAAGAGAGGTGTGGGGAAGGTGTGTTTTCCTGTGTAACCTGAATTTCTAGTGTCCTATCTGCCACATCCCACTTGTCAAGGCAGCTATGAAGGCTGAGCCAGCTTTATTTCCACATTTATTTACTTGTTGAGACTAACTAGTTTTAAAGGAGTGGAAATGGATTCCAGCTTTTGTAGATGAAGTTCTTTTTTTTTGTGGTACTGGGGATCAAACTCGGGTCCCTCCACTTGCAGGGCAGGCAGTGGAACCACTGAGTTAAATCCCTGGCCCTTTGTAGATGAAGTTTTGAAAGGAGCTTTGGGACCAGAAATGTCACTCGCTTCGGTTTTTCTGGAGAATACAACCTGGCACAGGGGTACAGGGGCACAGGATAGATTGGGGCAGGCTTTGTGAGTCGCCTATCTTGGAGTCTTGTTTTGTCTGCCCCAGGAGGACAACAGGCTTGAGTTTCCATCAGAGCTGTGGACTTCAGAGAAATCATACAGCCTGGCTGGTCTCAGTTTCCTTACTTAAAATCCAAGGATCCTACCATGTCCCTTTCAGTCAACTGTGAGGAGCAAAGCCAAGAATGCCGGGAGCTGCAGGCTGACCAGGACCTTCAAAGTCGGAGGGCTGAAGCAAAAGCCCAGGGCTGCAGCATGTTTGAAATCTTGGTTACTGGATTACAAACTACAAATTGCCTATCTGAAAATGATGAAGAGAATAAGTCAGCAAGACGCAACTTTATTCAGAACTGAGTCAGAGGGCAGGGCATGTAGCTCAGCAGTGGGGTGCTTGTCTCTCTCACATGAGACAACTTCTGTGAGGGACTCTGGGCTTGGCGCTGGAGTAAAAAGAAACCATAGGAAGAAAAAAAAAAAGAAAAACAGGAAGTGGGGGCATTCTATGTTTTGAGGTGTAAGATTTTTTTTTTTTTTTTTTACCCACATCCTTTTCTATTTGGACAGCAAGGAGAACCTGTGTCCTCATTCCTTGCTTAGAAGCAGTGGATGTGGAGTAATGTCAGAGAATGCACTTAGCAAAAGTGGTTTGTTTGCTTTTTAATCAGAGCCAGTGGGGGGGGGGAGAAGGTGCCGGTGGCAGAGCCTAGGACACAGGGACCATGAGCCCAGGTGCTGGCTGCAACATAGAATCCTTCTCTGTTTTTTTTTTTCCTTCATAAAAATTCTCCAGCTCTGGAATATCAAATGTATGACATCAAATTTCACACAGAAAAATGCCCACTTTGTGGCCTTTCTGCTCCCATCTTGTGACTCCAGAGGACTTTAGCTGTTTAGGGTTTGGGCCATGTCTAGGCACAAATTAGCAATCCCTTTAATGCACACCCTGTGGTCCTATTCTTTAAAATTCACTCTGCCCAGGATTTAGAACTCTGCATCCCTGCCTTGGTAAAGTCAAGCTGCAATCAGACCTCATTACAGAGTCCTGATTGAGAGCTCTGGGCAGGGCCTGCTGAGGGCAGAGCAGGGAGCCAGGGCTCTCACACAGCTTCTTTCCATGACGGGGATGGTGAAGCAGAAAAGGAGCATGCTTGTGTGTGCTTGCATGTGTGCACAGTTTTATGTGTACAGAGATGAGTAACTGTGCATGTCTGCATAGTTACACATCTGTGCAGATACCCGTGTACATGTGCATGTATATGTCCATGTATTTGCACAGATGCAGATCCACACAAGCGTGTACATGCCCCTGTGCAAGTGAGCAAGATTGTACATGGGTGCAGATGTGTGTAACTGCATGTGTTTGGCTATAGGTGCATGCAAGTGTGTGTGTGTACATGTGTAAATGTGCATGTGTACAAGGGTATGTGCAATTGCATATGTATGTAACTGCACCTGTGTGCACAGCTGCAGGTGTGTGTGCATGTGTGTGTATTATCATGCTGGTGAGCAGAGACCTTCAGGTCCCTGTGGTTGGTGCGAGAGCTGACAGAGTATGAAAAGGCAGCAGGAAAACATGTTCTGTGTGTAGCACCTACTGTTATTTAGATGAGAGGAGAACAATTTGAGATTTTGCTTTCTCTTGTTAATCCCAGACCCACTCCTTTCCGTGCCTGTGTCTGTGCAGCAGATAAACTCCCATGAAAAGGGAAAGCAAGGGCTTTGGCCTGGCTGATTCTCACTAGGTTGCCTTGATTTTCCAAAGGACCTGAAGCTCCATGCTGTGTTTCCCAAAGAGATGTCTGCAGCTGACACAGCTTCCTCCTCTGCTCTCCCTACCAGGCCTGCTTGCAGGGCTTTCTCATGCTCAGGACTCCCCAGCAGGCACCAACCTACCCTTCCTGCACTTGTTGCAAGCTGCCACCCCACCTGTCTTCCTCCACTTTTTTTTTTCTAGACCCTCCCTGGTTTTTCAAACCCAAGAGCTGCCCAACATCCCCTGTGGATTTCTTTGAGAACTCCAGACAGGGGGGAGCTTTCCTTCTTTGCTGTTTCTCCTGTTCACTGAGCTGCCCTCTCATCGTGCCTTCAGTGTTTTTGTCTCTGTGAACAGGAACAATCCTCCTCGTTAGCCTCTGTGACTTGCTTGTCTTGGCCCTTGCGTGTGCATCAACTGCTCTCAGGGCTGTTCACAAACACCTGCCCCTCCTCAGGACATAGACTGGGGCTGTGACGCTGGCTTCGCACTGCATGGTGGGTTCAGAGTTCACTCAGGAGCTGTTCTCCCTGCTGCAGTCCTGGAATTCACTGGTGGGGCTGCTTGGCCAGGATTCAGCTTGTGTGGCCGGTGCACTGGGGACTGTCCTCTCTTGTCCAGGATCCACAGAGGTTAATGCTGGTGGAGCCTCTAATTTCTCATCTGCAGCCTCATCACAAGAAGCTGTGCACTTAGAGTTAGTAAACAGGATGGATTAGGAACTGCAGAAATAATGATGATGTCCTGTCACAGCCTCATTCTTGCACAGTGGGGATGGGTATCCCCTCTGGGCTATTGGTGGGACTGCAGTGTGGTAGCATGGCAGGGCCAGGCCAGCTAGCCAGGCACTTAGAAGCTATCACAACCAAGCCAGAGGATACTGTGGCAGCAATGCAGGTGCTTTCTTTGTGCATGGGAGGAAACTTGGTGGGATCCAGACACGAATTTGTCCCATTCCTTTTCAGATGGGAAGCTGTACGATGCCTACGTCCTGTACCCCAAGCCTGAAAGGGACAACCAGTGCCACAAGGCGGACATGCTGGTGTTGAAGTTCCTGCCTGAGGTGCTGGAGAGGCAGTGCGGATATAAGTTATTTATATTCGGCCGGGATGAGTTCCCCGGACAAGGTGGGTTCTAAGTGAGGTAGAAATCAGCAAGTGACCAAAATGGAACCTGTTGGTGCTGGGGTCATAGCACAAAGGCATGCACATGGACCCGGGTTCCATTCCCGGCGCCACAAATGAGAGGAACAAAAAACAAAACAAGCAAGGAACTACTCCCGTCTTTCACATTGCAAAGGGTGGTGGCTCCACACCCTTCCCCATGGACTGCAGGAAGTCTATTATCCAAGACTCTGGAGCTGCAATCCTGGGACGAGTGTGGGAGCCAAGCTCTCCTCTCTTCTCCATTTCATGGCTGTGTCACAGAGTCTGGGAGCCTCATGGGTGGCAGTAATGTGAGCCTTACCTCCGAGACTTATGGTTAACCCAGTCTCACGAACGGGTGTCCAGTGACAGTCTGGGGATGTGGGATCATTTATTCTCCGGTCATTGTGACTACCTGCAGAGGTTTCCCATCACTTTAAATATATAAATCAGGTCTTGTTTAAAGCTGATTTCATAAACTTCAGCCACTTGCTCCTCCTGCACCTAAATTTGTTCACCATCTTTGAACCTCAGTTGTCTCGCCCGTGAGATAGGGATAAGAACCTTCCTTTCTCTGCCTCAACTTGGAGAACTCACTGGGAAAAGTGCAGTGTGAATCCGCCCCAGTGCTCCAGACGTGGAGCCCCAAAACTCCTGTCCTCTGTCTTTGATGGTTGTGCAGCAAATTGATCAGATTCTAAAGCAGATAGCCTCTTCCCACTGGGGACTATCATTCAGCAGATCTTTTTTGAGAACCTCTACACACTAGGCACTGGTCTAGGTGCTAGAAATATGAAAAAAAGTTACCTTTGTGCAGGTGAGAGCCTACTGTTTCATCCTGTTGGGGGGCACTTGCATACCAATAAAGTCTGCAGAGCCAGGTTTGTTGAGATCCCTACCCCATCCACCCAGCTGTCAGCAGGGTGTGCTATGTGCTTTCCCAATGAGTCATATGGATCTGGTCACCTAGGTAACTGTAAAGAGCAAGAAGAAAACACAACTACAAGATTAACACAGCATTTGAGCTAACTACATTTCCTCTGTCCTTCTAAAAATCTGCTTTTTTTAAAAAGAAAAGTATGTTCATGGGCTGGGGATTTAGCTCAGTGGTTCTGCCACCTGCCTTGAAAGTACAGGTCCTGAGTTTGATCCCTGGTACCAAAAAGAAAAGAAAAGAAAAGTATGTCATTATCCAATCTATTCCAGACCTTCTATTCTGGGGATCTGTGGTGCTATAATTGTGGGTTTTGGGACAATGATTCACTAGCACAGAAGACCAGTTCTTCAGAGAAAGCTAGGAAGGCTCCAAGGGGAGGTGCTGGACATTTAAAAATTTTAAAACTCTACCCTTACCTGTATTTTAAAGTCCTTTTTCTCTTGTAGGGATCCTTTCTGACATTCCCCGTAACTTTCTGCCCCAGGCGGTCTGAGTCTCCAGCTCCTCTGAATGTCCCTTCTTCATTCCAGCTGTGGCCAACGTCATCGATGAGAACATCAAGCTCTGCAGGAGGCTGATTGTCATCCTCACTCCTGTGTCCAGTTGCAGCCTACTGAAGAACCTGTCAGAAGAGCAGATCGCAGTCTATAATGCGCTCATCCAGGATGGGATGAAGGTGATTCTCATTGAGCTGGAGAGGATGGAGGACTACAGCACCATGCCGGAGTCCATCCAGTACATCCAGCAGAAGCACGGGGCCCTGCGGTGGTGCGGGGACTCCGCAGAACAGTCACAGTGTGCCAAGACCAAGTTTTGGAAGAGAGTGAGGTACCATATGCCACCCAGAAGGTACCCACCGTCTCCCCTGGGTCAGCTGCAGTGGCACACTCCCTACAACTACACGACGGGCAAGTGGGAGCCCACCATGGGGCCGGTCACCCACTGACCCGGGCAGGGCACATACTCACCTGGTGGCTCACTGCCAGCCAGGGTTGCAGAAAGCACAAGGCTGCCTGCCCTGGAGCTGTCCTACTGTGTCCTGCAAAGGCTTGTATTTGTCATTGTTGTTTGTTTTGATCAGCACAGCTGCTTCTTTAGGGAACGACAGCAGTTCTCTGAAGGCTTAATGCTGGGATATTCTGTGTTGGGCCCTGGGGATGGCAGCAGAGGGCTGCAGAGCAGAGTCCAGGTGTCAGAAGGTTTAACCCATGATCCGAAGGTCAGGGCCTGTGCAGTCCAGGTGCCAGGAGGGCACTGTGTGGCATAAGGAGGCTACCAGAGAGGGCTACACTGAGCTTTTCCTGTCCAGTGTCCCCAGGGCTCTGGTCCTTAGGTGATATTTACTGTGCTTTTTTTTTTCTCTGTACCAGGAATCGAACTTGGGTCCTTGCACTTGCGAGGCAGGTGGCAGAACCACTGAGTTAAATCCCTGGTCCTCACCAAAGGTTAATACTCAAAGTTAGCTGTCAGCCCTACATGAGCTCATTCAGGGTCCTTCAGGTCAGCTCTTGGCCATTTTCTTTACTTTTCTTTCTCCTCCCACATAGGAACCTTAATTCTTCATGGAGGTCTTGAGGGCAGAGGGACAATAAGCTGTCCCTTTGCACTGAAGAACAAAGGGCTGGCTGCTTCTCCTTTCCATCCACCTCACCCTCTACGGGTCTCCTCTTTTGCTTAGATCCTGGAGAGGGGCAGCCATGCTGGACAGGGCTGGGCAGAGGTCTGGTTATAGTATCTGCCTTCCTTTGTGGAGCCCTTGCTAGTGTCTGGCTAAGGGACCCGACCACAAGGTGGCCACCAGTCATGTGAGAGCACGTGACACTGTTGCTGCCCATCCGACACACCAGGCTGTGAAATCCGACGTCATTGTATGAGTGGTCACAGACTCTTGGTGTGGAGGGCACTTTGAGAATCTCTTACAGTCCCACTTGGGGTTCCCCATCCTTCTGGGTCTTTTCTCTTCAAAAGCTGCAGGCAGGCAGGAGCATGGCCCAGCCAGGAAAGCAGGAGGGATTGTGATGCGTCTTCTCTAAGAAGCTCCCTCTTAACGTGCCTGGAGTTTCAGGAAGCCCATTCTCCAGGGACTCTGCACTTATCCTGATAGCATTCCCAGGACACGAATCCCCGCTGTCAGCAAAAGAGAAAACTGACTCATCTAAAGAATCAAGTATTTCTGACAATCTCTGATCCTTAGCCAGTCGTGTTAATGAGTTCCTTAACTAGAATTTTTAAGTTAAAAAATTTCTCCTTCACTAGTATATGTCTTAAATCTTTTACTGTTTAAAAGTATTCAAGATATATTAGTGTAATATCAATGGATTATATTAGCACATTTTGTTTTGTTTTCATTAAAATATGTTTTGTGTCCTACATGAGGGCTTCTTTTCTCACTAGGACTGTTGACTTACATTTTGAGCGTGCCATGATTTATACCTGAATGTCACCTTAAAGCCTCATGCACTCATAGGTGAGGCTTTTGGAAGGTGATTGGATCGTAAGGCTATGATACTCACAGGTGGATTAGTCCCCTGATGAGTTTACAGCTGACTGTAATATTGGGAGGTGCAGCCTGGTTGGAAGGGGAGGATTACTGGGGGCATTGCCTAGAAGGGTCTCTCTCCTTCCTTGATCACGCTCTGCTTCCTGCCTGCTATGGTGTGAGTTGTTTATCTTCTCTCATGCTACCATGTTATAGAGCTGGCTGATATGGACTGAAACCCCTGAAAACTATGAGCCATAATAAACCTTTCTTGTTTTAAGTTGTGCATGTTGGTTGTTATGTCTCAGCGGTAAGAAAAATAACAAAGATGCAGCACTAGGCAGATATTTGCTGGGTTTAACTCTTGCTGTCAGACCATTACTCTGAAGAGGGATTTGTAAAAATGTAGACATATATGTTTAAGGTGGTTTTGAGTGGAGGCTTCTGAACTTCTGGGGATTTTAGGTGAATGGGATCAAGGAAGGAGGCTGTGTGTCACCTGCTCATATTCTCCTGGCCCAAAATCCTGGGATAAACATCCTCACTGGAGTTGATGCAGGTTCACTTCTTGCCTGACCTGCCTGCCCCCCAGAAACCTGGGGACCTGGTGGCTGTGTGCCTGCAAGTTTTAAGAGGAAGAGGAAGAGGAAGAGGGCCTTGAGTTTGTAACTTACCTCTTCTTCATAACCTGTGCTTCCCTTAAGAAGCTGATCCACCTTCTGGGACTAGACGAAGATGTCTTTGTCTCTTTCTCATCTCTGAGACACAGTACTGGATACCTGTAACTTAAAGGAGGAGAGGCTTATTTTGGTTCACATTTTAAATCTATAGTTGCTGGCTTCCAGGAAGGACAGCGTGGTGGAAGGGCCTGGTGGAGTAAAGTTGCTTGTGTCATGGTGGACGGTGGAGGAGCTGTGGAGGAAGATGAACCCTTTTAGGCTATGCCCAGAGTGACTAGACTCTTCTGACTAGACCCTGCCTCCTAACAGCAGGCCGACTATAAGCCCTATCATCCAATCATCTGCATATGTGTGCACGAGATTCTTGAGGTACACCTAGATATAAACCGTAACAGATGACATGTGTGAAGCACAGGGTGGACTTTCAGTGTGGACACATTTGGAAGGATTCTGACCATGATATTTAGAGAAAAACATCAGTTACAGGGGGAAAAAATCAATCAACATTGGATGTTTTGTATTAGGCAACTTATGATTTGGGGAAATCTTAAATTTTCTATTAGTTTCTTAAAATCACACACAAAAAGTTCTTAAAACAGTGTTCTCTCACCTGAGAACCTTGGGATCTGAAGCTATACCCCATATTATGGGGGCTGCTGGATGCTGTCCCATCCCAATGGGACAGGATTCCCCAGGCTTTCCTGAGACTCTTGGAGCTCACCTGGCCCCTGTCCTGATGGATCCCTGGCCACTGTCCTTAACTGCTTGGTCTTGGTGTCACTTAAGAGTCATTTTACATCATAAGAAGAAGGGCGTGGGCAGAGCAATAAAACATTTTGAGAGAGAGGGACCACCTCCCCATAACTTTTATTGCAGTTTATTTTAGAGTTGCTCTATTTTATTAGTATTTATTATTGCTGGTCTTGTCCCGTGTCTAATTTATAAATTAAATGTTATCAGAAGTATGTATGTACAGGGAGGATGCTGAAGATAGAGCTTACTATCTAAAGTTTCCGTCATCCACTAAGAGTTTTAGAATGAGTCCCCATAGCTAAAGGGAATCCTATGGCCCTAGGAATAAGGTGGAAAAAACATCAGTTCCCCAGTCAGAGAGCTGATGGCAATTTGGGGGAGTAGTCCTGGAATCCCTTCTAATTTTGATCCAGAAGGCAGCCTTTAAAATGCTCCTTTGCACTATTTTTACACTTGTACTTTAGTTCTTTACTGTTTAATCTCAGGAACTGATCAAATACTGAAACTTCTGAGGGTCAGGAAGTGACCTCTCTCACATCTTTTGGGACACACATAGCCTTCTCTCTGCTCTGGATCCTGTCTCATGTTTACAAACTTTCCTCCAACACATGTGTGCTTGCTGATGGATGCACAGTGTGTTTTGGAAATGGAAGAAGTGGGCCATGCCTCTCTGGTTTCCTTCATAAGATAGACTTGCTTTGCAGAGGACAGATCCAGAAAGGCTGGAATGAGTTACTGGGGGTGACGCTAGTTCTCAGAAAGGCAGAACATGAGGTCTGAAGGACGAGAAGTAGAAGCGGAATTGTTGTGTGGCCCTGGGAGACAAGGACTCTCAGGAATCCACACTGCTTCCCCCGACCCCGAAGCTTTAGGGGTGCCACCAGACACCGGCTCCCCATTGGAGACATTGGAGCCTGGCTCTTAACCTCCACTTTTCCTGAGCTCCCAGGTACTGCTGCTCACCTGAGAGGCATGGAAGGAGAACATGGGAAGTGGGTCCCATTTCCTGTCTCGGAGAAGGCTGGGATTCCAGATACCCAGTTGAGTTCAGTCTTAGAGCATAGCTGCAGCGGAGGAGGTGGCTGTCACCGGGCTCGTGGCAAGCTGAGTCTACCCAGAAGCCCAAGCCTCGATTGTGTGTGGTCTTTCTCCTTCTCTATTACCAGTGGAAATCACTGTGTAAATGTTGGAAATATTAAAATTTCCTGAAATTTGATTCTACCCTCATTGGAGAGACATGAATCACATTTCATTTGTTCAGTGCCTACGTGAAAAATCACAAAAGTTTCTTTTTATCAGTCTAGAAAATGAAAATCTATTTCTACAACCACCAGATAATCTGTTTGTCAACATCCAAATCTACTTCCCCTGAACTCTACTGGTGGTGTCAACTGAAAACAGAGGTAAGGTCCAAACTGTGATCATAGCTGTAGAAAAATGCAAGGAGGATGAGCAGTAGTTTTTTGTTTTGTTTTGTTTTTGGTACTGGGGATTGAACTCAGGACCTTGTGCTTGCAAGGCAGGCAGTGGGACCATTGGGTTTCTCAGTGTGAGACAATATCGTTTGTCTCCTTGGATGTATCTGTGTTGTCATGGGGACAGTGGAGTTTGTGGTCCCCACATTTAGGCCCTTTCACTTCTCCGTATTTCCTTTCTTTCCCTTTACTGTTATCAAGATTTACTCCCTGTCTCCTCCAACTCCAGGTAGCACCATCCTGGAAAGTAAGGAATCATTTATAGACAAGAGCTGATTTTTAATTCATGACAGCATGTCCAAGCCATAGACTAGGTTTGAGCCGGAGTGCTGGCCTCCACCACCAATGGATTTCAGAACTTACAATGCAAAGAGAAAGAAGAAATGCAATTTAGTTTTCAATTCAGAACACACACACACACACACACACAGGAAAAACAAAAACATTTGTTCTGTTTTAGTCTAACACACACACACACACACACACACACACACACACAGGAAAAACAAAAACATTTGTTCTGTTTTAGTCTAGTTTGGCTTTTCAGAATGCTCGTCAC